CACAAAGCCAGAATTCAAACCCTAGTCCCTGTTCTTCTCTCCAGGTTGCCCTCCTCCCGCCCCCTACCGCTTTCCTTCGGACTTCCTGAGTTTAAATCTTGGTTTTGCCATTTACTTGCTGAGCTCAAATCCTGGCTTACTTAACTTCTCTAAGTATCCATTTCCTCATCAGTAAAGTGAGAATAATAATATCATAGATCTTTTAGAGTTGTTGAGAGGATTTGATTAGATATTGCTTGTAAACAACTCAGAAGAGTGGCAAGCACATAGTAAACCTCAATAAATGTTACTATTGCTTTTTATTATTATGTTCAGTGCATTCATCGGTCTCTTCTGTCTATACACCTGCTCCCTGGGCAGGCTCACCTATGTACCGGCTTCCAGTAGCGTCTACATGTGAGAAAGCCTCTTTCTCTATAGCCAGCCCAGACTCCTCTGCCAAGTACCAGCCCATATTTCCAGTCATTGCCTGCATTTCCTCCATGTGATGGCCCCTGTACACACCTCATATGTGACAAACTCATAGCGGAACTCATCATCACCCTCCCCCAAATGTACTCCTTCTCTGAAACGCCTAAGTCAGTGACTGACATGCCACATGAGTCATAAACTTGGGCTTTGTCCTTGACTCCCGTCTCGCTCTTTCAGCACACTGCATCAGCCACTTGTCCTTCCTCCTAAACATCTATCTCTCTGGTTCACCCAGCCTGTCCTGGATGTTTTCAATGTCACTGCTGATTCTGTCTTCGTTTAAAAGTTTGATATTTTGTTCATCATGGGATTTTTGCACTAATTTTGATTTGTAAAAATATTCCATCAAAATATTATTTATCTTGATTATTGGATGTGTCCATATCCCCTAAATTTTGTATTTGAGATAAGTGTTGGACTTGCCTTACTCCAGGTCTTCTCCCAATGCAAGTTCCAGAGTATCCTGCCAGAACATTATTGCTAAAATATCCTGGCACGCTCAGACACCTCCCGGATCTTGCAATTCCACACCACCTCCCCAACCTTCCCTCATGGATGCCATGATCTAGCAACAGGAATCCATTTTCTTTCCATTTCTGTGCTTTTAGAAATGGGGCAAGTGATCTCTTTGTCTATGCTTTAGTTTACCTAGGATGGTTAGGAACTGGTTATACTTGCAAATAGTTAAATTGTTTATGCATTCACTGATAAAACTTAAATTCAACTATATTTTATGAAAATCCTTCTAAAATTTATTATATGTCTCTGCAGTCTTCCATAAAATACGTTCATATTTTAATATGTTCTCAGTAGGGGTGCCTGGGTGGCTCAGTCCCTTAAGCGTCTGACTCTTGGTGTCAGCTCAGGTCTTGATCTCAGGATTGTAAGTTCAGGCCCCGCACTGGGCTCCACGCTGGGCATGGAAACCACTTAAAAAAAAAAAAAAAGTTTTCAATCGCGCAGCCTCATCATTCTAAGCATGACATAGGTACTCTGCTATAATCCAGTGATGTCAACCTCAGGAGCCATTGGGATTTATGTCTGGTTTGCCCCTAAACTCCATGTTCACATACAATGCATTCCTTTTCTCATTTTGTTGCAGTCTTGCTGCTCCTGATCTCTGTTCTCTGCTGTCACAGGTTCTGTTTCTTTTGATTCATCCCTAATGACTTGGCCTCATTTCCCTTTCCCTTGTCCATGTCACTCCCACCTTAACCTTGCCCTCTGCTATTCTCTCCCCTAGGTCTGCTTTCCCGGTACTTGTTGGAACTGACACTCATGGAGCTTGATAATTATAACCTTTGCCAGCCTACGACAATGCTCTTTTCTTCTGCTTGACTAACTGACTCATCCATTTTATTATTCAGCCTTTGTATCTTTATCTCTTACCTCCTTTTCCTCCCTAGTTTGCCATTGTTCTGATGGGTTGAGAGATCCTGAATATATATACGTAACCGTGGCTGTGTAATCCATGGGATAACCTTCCAGCTACCTCTCCTATGGCATTTCTCCACATAGAGGATCACGGGGCAGGGGTTAAGAAAGAATTCTAACCTCAAGTACGTGAGGGACTTGACATCCTCTGTCCTTGGTCTCTATCTCTATGTGCTCTAATCCTAAACTTTTTAGGTGGTGCAGTATTAAAGAGACATGGGAAACTAACAAGGGCAACTGAAGTATCTGAAATTCCTGACGGGAATATTGAGTCAATGGATCTTAGTCATGTTTGAACCAACTCTAAGTTCTTTTTCCTTGTTAAAATGGGAGAAAACAGGGATTTACTGAGACTGCCAGTTGGCCTCTGAAATCTAGTCTTGGGTACATCAAAGGGCTCCATTAGGTGACAGGTTCATTTTTATTAAGAGTTTACTGGTAATCACAAAATCATAAAATATCCATACGATCTAATGAACAAAATGTAGAAACGCTGGAAATCAAGAAAACTTCTGAATAATCCTGTCCTCAGACAGAAACTAGTTAGAATAAGATTTTTAAATAGATCCTTTTCTCGTGACTGAGATATTTAAGAAAAATAGGCATGAAGTAGAACCTGGAAGTTTCTGTTTGCTCATTTTTCTGGTCATCATCCTTTATTTACTGATTTACAAATCAGTAAATAAGGCAGGGGCCACCGAAGAAGGTTTAGTACTTTTTGGATATTGAACACAGGTTAGTCTTTGATGTTTGTTTCCATAATAGTCTATGTCCTTGAAAAGAAGTGTGACATAATGGAAGTACCACGGGCTTAGGAGCAAGATAGATCCAGGCGTGTGTGACCTGAGGTCCACCATTTACTCCCTGGGTGGCCTTAGGCCTATCACCTTAGCAGGATGAGCCAGCAAGGGGTTACTAAAGTACAGGTCATAGAATACCTCCAAGGACTGAATAAAGGAACAGGCACAGGACCTTGAGCTCAGTGCCTGGCATGTCATGGAAACTCAGTGAACCTAGGTTCCCTTCCCATCTGCCTCCTCTTCACTTTCACATCATCTGTGTGAGGGGCTAAACCTAGTGTCAAGGTCTATACCCCCTCCTGGGTGGAGACTGCTCTCGAGAATGGAACTAAGGACACTTCTTTAAAGTGCAGAACTAATGGCAGGTGGTGTGGGAATCCAGTGTGTCTGAGAAGGCACGCATTGTTCTGAAGCAGTCATAGCACTCATTAATCTAGTCTCAGATCAGAATCTAGATCCTGAGACTTCCCCCCCTCTGGTAATTGTTTGAGGACTCCTTGGCAAACCTGCAGTTAAACCCTCTCTGAGGCAAGCCCCCAGCATGGCTCTGAGCTCTGAGCATGTGCTGCCCTTACTCTTCTTCGGACGTGTGCCAGCTGCCTTGAGGCCAGCCAGGCAGTGAATAACGGTCTCAGCCCTTGTCCCATGGAGGAGACAGAGGGCTCTCAGAGGCCCAGGGTGGCAGCTTCCTCAGCAAGGGCTGATTCAACAGCACTGTTCTCTCTCGGGCAGTTAGCCCAATTCTGTAAGGCAGCCTCAGAAGAGTTTTATTATCTTTCTTTGAATCTCTTCCAATACTTTGACGTCCCTGAAGTTTAAAAGCTAAAAACTGCACACAGTGCAGCATGCCACACGAAACACCTTTAGAAATTTCTAGTTCAGAAGAACTTGGGCAAAGACAAATCTCTCTGGTTGATTCCGTTTGTATTCTTCTCTTGAGATTTGTCTTGGGCAGGTGACTGTACAAGTAACTACCATCATCATCATGTTTTAAAGAATTATAATAGTTACAAATTAGCTTATCATTTTTGAGACATGTTTGTGGCCTAAAATAAATTGGTAAAACCAAAACAGCTTTTTAAAAAAATGCAAGCATAGCCAATAGTATGAAGCCATTTTTCAATGTGTATTTTTGTTTTCCATTTATTTTTTTGAACCAGGGCACTTATTTGAATATCTGCTGAATCTGCGGGACGTACCTGACAAGCAGGCCACATGGTTCCCTCCCTTGGACTGCCGTGACAGCCTTCTACACACTGTGCTACTCAGTGGTCACAGGCAGCTAGAAAATTGCACGGGGTAGCTGAGCCTTTGAAAAGTGGACAGGTCAACCTTTTTAATTCAGTAAGTCAAGGTGATTTAGGTCCCCACTGATACAGGTTGTTCTGTAATAGGAAAAAGTTCTGGAAATTCTTATCTCAGAAGACACGTGCCATTACTTTAGGGGTGGCTATGGATATTAGTGAGATAAACCAAAGTCAGGTCACTCAAATTATGTCCCAAAATTGGGACATAAAGTATCTGCTTGAGAGTGTCAAAGACAGTCTCTTGGGAATGGGGTTCATAACTACCATTGTCCTGAATTTTTTAAATGACTTTCTCAAAAATATTTCAAAATGATACCCAAACAACAAGTATACACACTGACTGAATAAGTAATGCATTTATAGATAAATTTACATAGCTTTATTTACATACATACATATATTTTCATAATGCTCCTTTATCCACCTGATGCTCAGTGGGGTTTTTCAGAGGAGAACATTTGCCAACCTTCCTCTAGTCTTCTTTTTCTCCACAAAATTCTCCTCACACCTTTGTTCCACCTATGGTTAACTTTTCAAAGCTACCAAACAAGCCATACTGTCTGTCCATCCCATACTTGGCTCAAATTGTTTCCACTACCTTGAATGCCCCACCCTGTCCCTATTCTTCACCTGGCTAACTATCCTCATCTGTTGAGAGTTCTAGTGACCCCTTCCAGGAAGCCTTCACACACACACACACACACACACACACACACACACACACACACCCCTGCATACTTGACTAGTACCTCATGCTTACTTCCCTTTGGCATTTAATCCCCTGGACTGAATGATCTGGTTATTTATCCCCTCCATCTACTCATCCTTAGAGTATCAGCTCCACCAGAACAGACCTGGTATCTTTTTCATTATGTGTTCCCATGCTTTTCACAATCCCTGGAAAACACTGAGTGAGTGAGTGAATGAATGAATAAATGGAATGAATGAGAGCGTGCATTCTTGCTCTGACCATGGGGTGAATACTCACCTCAAACACCAGTCTCCAATCCCACTCCCACCCTGAAGTCTGGAGTTGAAGGCCGGTGGGTAGAGGATTTGGTCTCCATGTTCCCTAGGCAGCATGGAGCAGCTCAACCATCCACATTCCAACTGGATGAGAAAAAACACCTATGTGAGTAGTTTTTCTTTTCCTAGAGATTTTTCTCACAGTTTGTGGCTCGTTTTATCAAACCTAGACAGTTTTTTTTTTCATGTGCTGTGGCGTCTCGGTCCCTGTAACACCAACCTCTTTAATCATTAGTCTTTCTGGTAGAATTTGATAGGGGTCATATCCAATCCCTCTCCTCGTCTGCTAATGGCAATTTATGGACACTTACTATGAGCAATATACATTGCAAAAGACCAGAAAACTCCCCCTCTGGTTATGATGCAGCACTATAAGGTGATAGTCTGGAAACTAGACTGATAGTTTAATCAGTGGTATGTGATCTTTATTTGTGGTTGGCTGCCTCATCAATTTTCATTTGGGAGCTGAAATGGACTCTGAGGCAGATATGGCATTAATTACGAGGGAAATTGGTTGCAATATGCCTCGAGGTAAAATCCTTCTGATGGAAATCTGAGATTGAAAGAAAGCCAAATTACAAAAGGATGATTTACTGGAAAAGGCAAATGTATGCATTACCATCACCGCTTAGCAAAGAAAAAAGGAATTGATAAAGGAGAGAGATTGTGGAATGACTGAAAAGTGAAAAAAAAAAAAATCCCCTGGATGTAACTCACTCAAAAACAGATTTATTCTTATGCTGAATGCATTATATTTCCCCAGATACATACAACATTTTCCAAGAGTGCGCTTCAATTAAAAGGCAACGAGCATTAATAACAGTTGGCAGGGTCCCTATTTTCTTCTAGATTGAAATATATTTTACTAAGAATTGAATAGGGAGCATCTAGGGATACCAACCTAAAATTCATTTTACTAGTTACGGTACCTGCTGTTGTATCAATTTTCTAGTTATAATATCACTTTTTTCCCTGAAGATTTCAAACACCTTCTTAGACAATACCTTCTTTATCCTATCACTGAATCTTGATGAGGTAAAATATAGAGGCGAAGTTGTAGTTGAATGACTATCCCCAACTTATTATGAGAAAACTAAGACACAGTGAGCTTAAGCTAATGCATTTTTTAAGGCAACATATTCTTTTTCATTGGCTATATAACAGAGTGAGTTATTAAGAAAAGTACTGAGAGTTAATACCGCTTCCTTCATCACACCCAGGAAATGAAGATCAGCATTATATTTCTAACAATTGGAACATGTTTACCCATACCCGGGGTTGAGCAGAAGTGAGAAGCCTTCGTTGTTACAGGCAGAGAGAAGCCCAATACATGGTTAGAGGCAGGGATGGAAACCAGGCCATCTGCACCCACATTCTCTCTCTGCTACTTATTAGCTGGGTGACTTTAGCCTTGGCCTCGGCGCCTCAGTGTCCTTGTCTGTACAACTGGGAGAACACAACAGTGTTTTCTATTAACTTGAAAATTAAGCTGGGTTCCTTCTATAGAGGGAGGAGTTGCAGGAAATGTTTGAAGTGGACAAAGCAGAAGCTTTTGGACGCTTAGAAGGTTTAGAGTCCTAAGACGGAATATAGGGGTAGGGTTGTACACATTTCCCCTAGTGGGCGCGACCAGGTAGCGCCCTGGGAGACTGAACGATACCTGAACCCAGGGCTCTGTACCTTGGTCAGGAGACCAGGGGCCAAACATCTCACAGGCAAATCTTGGACATGGTGGGTGTCCCCAAGTCTGCCTGGAGCTGAGTGCCCAGCAACACATTTGTAGCTACAGGTGTTTTCATTGTGTATTATCTTTCTTCCTACACTGCCTGGAAAATAGGTAAATAAATGTTCAGTGAATATAGCCACTGTGGACTAAGGATCTGTCATTTTCCCTGTTTTTGTGTTTTTCAAGTCTGGCATTCTTGAGAGGACAGAACAGGAATCGCAAAAATGACTGAGGATGAATTTCCCACCAACCACGTAAGTGGACACTCAGAGCAGATTAAATTTGAGAACAAAAAGGGTTGTGTGCCTTATATCTCATTCTACTATTGTAGACTAAAATCAATACCTGCTTTACCAGCTATGAACTCCTTTGGCAGCAAAACCCTACTACTGGTGACTTAAAATATGGTGCTTTATTCACTCATGTAAAGAAAAATTTGAAGGTCGACCATTCAGATGGTCCCTAGGGCCATCAGAGACCAAGTTGCTTTCTTTCTGCCCTGCCACCCTTAGCATATGGCTTTTATCTATAGTTTGTTGCAAGACGGCTACTTCTCCTGTAAGCTTTTGTTGGCATTCCAGGTAGGAAGGAAGAAGGGGCAAGACAGAAACTATCACTTTATGTATATATGTATGTATGAATTGACTAGAGATGGGCAATTTATTATTTATTATTTTTTTAGTTGAAGTATAATTGACATACAATATCCTATTTGTTTCAGGTATACATCAAAGTGATTCTATATTTTTACATATTTCAAAATGATCCCTAATGATAAGTCTAGTTACCATCTGTTACTATACAAAGTTATCACAACGTTATACTTTATATTTCATTGGCCAGTAGTACTGTGCCACATGTTCATTCATTTCATGTGTGATGATGAAGCTAGAATTTATAGCTGGGCACACTGCCATGCTGAACTAAATTAGTTTCTATTAGCAGAGAGTAGAATGGTGGTTACCAGGGGCTGCAGGATAGAGGAACTGGGGAGATGGTGGCCAAAGAGTACAAACTTCAGTTAGAAAATGAATGAATTCTGAGGATCACACAGACACACAGAGGATAATTATGTAATGTGATGGAGCTGTTAGCTATCACTATGGTAGTAATCATATTTGTGACCTGTAAGTTTATCAGATCAACACACTGTACACCTTAACCTTACAGTTTTATGTCAATTATATCTCAATTATAAGTTAAACAAATTAGCTTCTATTAATGAGATAGAATGGGCAGATAGAAGAAAAGCTGCTAATAGTGTCTGCCACATACATTTTTCCCAACATCTAAAATCTACCTAAGAAAATTTATATCTTGTTTAAAGCAAACCACATATATACAACATATGACAATTTGATTTAAAAATAAAGGGGGAAATTCTACTTGACTAAAGAGTTTACAAAATAGCTGTCTTAAATTGTTTTTAAAGTCATTTGATTTATATATTTTTAAGAATGTAAAAAAAAAAGTCTTTGAATTCAAGGAGTTAGAGATAATTTAAGCTCCCCTTTTTCATTATACAGTTGAGAAGCAGACCTATAGAAATGTCATGCAATTCTCCCATATTTCTACAGCTAGGTAGTGGGAGAGAAGAAATGAAAAGTCTGCAATAACAGATGCCAAATTTTTAAGATTATCTTTACATTTCAGACTTGGAGTCTTTAAATGGCTAGTTAAATATATACTAAATGTGTTTGTTTGTAATACATTTTACAAATGTCCTTACAGGACTATTACAAAAGTAAGTATATAAATGAAGAATTATTTATCACAGCACATGGACATAATTTGCATTTAGAAAATGTACCAGAATCAAAACCTCAATGAGATACCACCTCACACCAGTCAGAATGGCTAAAATTAACAACTCAGGAAACGACAGATGTTGGCGGGGATGCGGAGAAAGGGGAACCCTCCCACACCATTGGTGGGAGTGCAAGCTGGTGCAACCACTCTGGAAAACAGTATGGAGGTTCCTCAAACAGTTGAAAATAGAGCTACCATACAATCCAGCAATTGCACTACTGGGTATTTACCACAAAGATACAAATGTAGGGATCTGAAGGGGTACATGCACCCCGATGTTTATAGCAGCAATGTCCACAATAGCCAAAGTGTGGAAAGAGGCAAGATGTCCATCGACAGATGAATGGATAAAGAAGATGTGGTATATATATACACAACGGAATATTATGCAGCCATCAAAAGGAATGAGATCTTGCCATTTGCAACGATGTGGATGGAACTGGAGGGTGTTATGCTGAGCGAAATAAGTCAATCAGAGAAAGACATGTATCATATGACCTCACTGATATGAGGAATTCTTAATCTCAGGAAACAAAGTGAGGGTTGCTGGAGTGGTGGGGGGTGGGAGGGATGGGGTGGCTGGGTGATAGACACTGGGGAGGGTATGTGCTATGGTGAGTGCTGTGAATTGTGCAAGACTGTTGAATCACAGATCTGTACCTCTGAAACAAATAATGCAATATATGTTAAGAAAAAAAAAAAAGAAGAAGAAAATAGCAGGAGGGGAAGAATGAAGGGGGGGAAATTGGAGGGGGAAATGAACCATGAGAGACGATGGACTCTGAAAAACAAACTGAGGGTTCTAGAGGGGAGGGGGGTGGGGGGATGGGTTAGCCTGGTGATGGGTATTAAAGAGGGCACGTTCTGCATGGAGCACTGGGTGTTATGCACAAACAATGAATCATGGAACACTACATCAAAAACTAATGATGTAATGTATGGTGATGAACATAACAATAAAAAATTAAAAAAAAAAAAAGAAAATGTACCAGAGTTATCAAAAGAGGAGTCTTCTATGTGTTAAAATCCTGGCATTGCTACTAACTACATGAGCCATAGGAAAGTGGCTCATCTTTCTTTCTTTCTTTCTTTCTTTCTTCCTTTCTTTCTTTCTTTCTTTCTTTGAGAGAGAAAATGAAAAAGAGCATGAGTAGGAGGAGGGGCAGAAGGAAAAGCAGACTCCCCGCTAGGCAGGGAGCTGGATGTGGATGTGGGGTTCAATCCCAGGACCCTGAGATCATGGCTTGGGCTGAAGGCAGACGCTTAACCGACTGAGACACCCAAGTGCCCCAAGTGGCTCATCTTTCTAAGCCTCAATTTTCAGTTGTAAAGGAAAATAAAACATTTTTATATGATGTTCTTGAAAAAAGTTAAATGAAGCTGCACACATAAAGCATACAGTGGTGTGGCTATCACTTAATAGGTGCTCAATAAATCATTCCAGCTATTATTGTCATTATCAGTGCTGTCCCCATCATCAGTATCACCATCATTAGCATCTTCTTCTTCTAAAAGAATCCAGTCCAGTGTTCTTAATATTTCATCATGA